TAAAAATTGACACGGGGACTTGATATAATTTTAGGAATGAACTGGCTAGCAGCGTATCACGCTACCATAGATTGTTTCATAAGAAGGTTGTATTCAACCCTCTAATGAGAAGTCATTTATAAATTAATAAAATTCTTTAACATTTATTCCCTCATGGCAAATTTTTCTATTATCAGGTGCTTTAACCCGGTTGGTTTCTCTAACTAGGCAGACCTAAGAAAGAAATTTGTATTCAAGATATTTCGGTAGTCTGAGACTTTCCAGATGTGTTCCCAGATGAACTACCTGGACTGTCAGGGGACAGAGAAGTTGAATTCATCATAGACCTTCATCCAAGCACCTAGCCCATTTCATTTGTCCCTTACCGCATGAGTCGTGTTGAGATGGAGGAGCTGAGGAAACAGATAAATGAATTACAGAATAGTAGATTCATTCGACATAGTGTGTCCCCTTGGGGTGCTGGAGTCACATTTACAAGAAAGGGATATGGGATATGGGACTTTGAAGTTATGTATCGACTACAGAGGTCTGAACAGGGTCACGGTCAAGAACAAGTACCCCCTTCCCAGGATCGATGACCTTTTTGATCAGTTACAGAGTGCCCAAGTCTTCTCCAAGATAGACATGCGTTCAGGGTACGATCAGGTAAAGATCATGGCAGAAAACATTCTCAAAACAGCCTTTTGAAACAGGTATGGACACTATGAGTTCCTAGTCATGTCATTTGGACTAACCAACGCACCAGCAATCTTCATGGATTTGATGAACAAGGTTTTCAAACAATTCCTAGATCAGTTTGTCATTGTATTCATCAATGATATCTTAGTCTATTCAAAAACCAGAGAGGAACATGTTTACCATCTGACTCAGGTTTTGTAGGTTCTCAGAAATAAGAAGTTAAATGCAAAGTTGAGTAAGTATGGATTCTGTCTCAAGTAGACTACCTTCGTAGGGTACATCATATTAAAGGATGGAGTGTCAGTGAACCCCGAAAAAGTTGAGACAGTACTTGGCTGAAAAAAATTGACATCGGTCAAAGAGACTGTAGCTTTTTGAAGATGGCAAGTTATTACCACAGGTTTGTAGAAGAGTTT